TTTTTTTTTTTTTTTTTTTTTTTTTTTTTTTTTAGCTGAGCCATCCTGCCAACTGTTGGCAGCTCAGCTCGGGTGAGGAATTGAACTGGCGATCCTGTTGCTCAGAGCTCGTGCTCTTGAGCGAGCTCTTAACCAACTGAGCCACTCGGCCAGCCCTGCATCATGATTTTCCCAACAGCCCAAATATGTTCATATGATGATGAGAATAACCCAGTCAAGAGGCAAGAGGAGTCCTTGATTAGGTGAAAGGGAGTGTGACTGAAGGACAACTGGGAAGGACCTGAACAAGGTTCATCTGCTGCAACAGGAGAGGAGGCAGAACTTCTGGACACAAATGCACGTAGGCCTCAAGGTATAGTGGGCGGGCACCTCAAAATTCCCTTCTATTTTCTTAGTGAAATAGAAAGGACAGGTCATCAGCTGACACTGAGGAGCTGATGGCAGTTTGATATCAGAGGTAAAAGGAGGCGAGCAGGAGAGTGGTGGACTAAGGAAATGAGCTATAACTGACAGGGAGCATTCAGTACCCACTTAGCACCGGCAGCCCTTTTGAATGGAAGTGGCTCACACCTTAGCAGACTTCAGTGTGACGCCTCCCAGGAGGGGACGTGCACAAGGGATGATTGGAGGACTCGGGGTCCTGTCAGATTTTCACCATTTACTCATGTGAGTCACTTAACCTCTGTGAACCTTTTGCATTTTTATCTGTAAAATCAGGATATTCACACTTGCACTGCCTCCCTCAGAAGAATCATGAGGTGGAACATGAAGGATATATCCTAAAATGGCAAGTGCTAAACACATCAAGGTTACCAGGAGACTAGAGCAGGTAAAGTTAGAATAGCACAAGAAAAAGATAGAGGCCCTAATGGGAGAAGGGCATCTCCAGGTCCAAATAAGGTCTTTCCAGAAAGGATGGCCTAGGGGCGCTTGGGACAACAGGTGGGAGGTGGCATAAATAGAGAAGACAAAAAAGAGGGAATTGAGGAGGACACAGTCTGCCAACTGCTGGCTGCCTGGCCCAGGGCTGGTGGAGACTCATTCAGCTGAGGACCCAGCAGACACCCGGGGCATTCTGCCACTGGCCCATATACACTCTGTGTGTGAGTTAGACATGGGCACCCCTTCCTCAAGACCCTTTACTTCTACTTGTCAGAAAACTGGCCTGATATACCCACTTTCTTAGAATAAGACATTTTCTCGATTATATGCCTGAAAATTTGTTGTAACAAATATGAAAATCTAGTATGATTGTGCGAATCGTTCCCTAGGGTCATATAGTGTACAACGCACTGCAGTTTCTGTCTTAGCTAACCCTCAACACTCACCAACACCCTTCGCTGAACACCACCTCACGATAAATTCTTTATATCTATATTTAAAATAGTATCAGATTAACGTTTTTAAATTTTTGAGATAGAAATTAAACATTATTGGTTTTTGTGCCTTAGGTTATACTCTTGGTAAGCCTGGATTACAAGTAATCTTTCACTTCTAGGAAGGGTTTTTTTTTTTTAAGAAATTTTATTGGGGAACAGTGTATTTTTCCAGGACCCATCAGCTCCAAGTCAAGTAGTTGTTTCAATCTAGTTGTGGAGGGCGCAGCTTTTTTGTTTTTTAAGATTATTTTTTAAAATTGGGGAATTGGGGGATGGGAACAGCACTGGGGAATTGGGGGAAGGGGAACAGACAAGTTGCTGTCATTTTTGTTCTTCAATCTAGTTGT